AAAGTAGCCCCAGCCTATTCAGCCTCTCCCTTTAACTCAAGCCCTCCAACTCTGGCAACATCGTTGTCAATCTTTTCAGAGCCCTTCGAAAGCAGGGTTAGCAGAATTGTACACAGTATTCCAAAAATAGTCTAAACCGTGTCCAGTACAGTCGCAACATGACCTCTCAATTCCTATATTTAATGCACTGTCCAATAAAGGAAAGCATACCAAACACCTTTACTATCTCGTGTATCTGCAACTCCACTTTGAAGGAACTGTGAACCTGCATTCCAAGGTCTCTTTGTTCAGCAACACTCTCCAAGACCTCACCATTAAGTGCCTAAGTCCTGCACTGATTTGCCTTTCCAAAATGCAGCACCTCACATTTATTCAAGTTAAACTCCATCTACCACTCCTTGGCCTACTGGCCCATCTGATCAAGATCCTATTGTATTCTGAGGTAGCCTACTTTGTTGTCCACTACACCTTCAATTTTGGTGTCATCTGCAAACTTACTAACCAAACCTCTATGTCCACATCATTTATATAAATGATTTGGAAAAACAGTGGACCCAACACTGATCCTTGTGGCACACCGCTGCTTGCAGGCCTCCTGTGTGAAAAGCAACCCTTCACCACCACATTTTGAGCCATTCTGTATCCAAATGGCTAGTTATGTATTCTTTGTGATCTAACCTTGCTAACCAGTCTACTGTGAGAAACCTTGTCGAATGCCTTACTGAAGTCCATCTAGATCGTGTCCACAGCTCATAGTTTTAAAGTGAGTGGAGGTAGATATAAGGGAGACGTCAGAGGTAGGTTCTTTACTCAGAGTGGTAGGGGCGTAGAATGCATTGCCGGAGAGGGTAGTGGAGTCGGCCTCATTAGGGGCATTTAAGCGGCTATTAGACAGGTATATGGATGATAGTATAAGGTAGGGGTGAAGGTTAGATAGACCTTAGGTTTAGGATAAAAGTTCGGCACAACATCGTGTGCTGAAGGGCCTATACTGTGCTGTACTGTTCTATGTTCTATGTTAGGGCAGGCTGAGTTGGATCATCCACTCAGCACTTCTAGCTAAAGATTATTGCTAATTTCAGCCTTCTATTTGTACCAATGTGCTGTGCTTCCATATTATTGATGAAGGGGATATTTTGTGTAGTGTACTCTCAAGTCATTTGATTGTCCACCATTCACGGCTAGATCTGGCAGGATAGTATAGCTTAGATCAGATCTGATGGTTGTAGAACTATGACTGTCTATCACTTGATACAATTTGTGCAGTAATCCTGTGGTGTTGTTTCACCAGGTTGATGCCTGATTTGTGGGTGCATCTGGTACTGATCCTGGCATGCCCTCCTGCATTCTTCATTGAACCAGGATTGAACTTCTGAGTTGTTGGTAATCATAGAGTGAGGGATATGCTGTGTAATGAGGGTTACAAGTGTTTTTGAGTATGATTCTGCTGGTGCTGATGGCCCACAGTGCCTTGTAGATTCCCGTTTTTGAATTGCTAGATCAGTTCAAAGTCTATCCCATTTAGCACAATGCCACACAACACAATGGAGGGTATTTTTGAATTTGAAGACGGGCCTTCTGCAAGGACAGTGCTGTGGTCTTACCAGTACTGTGATGGACAGATGTATGGACAGACGGATTGATGAACATGAGGTCATGTATGCTTTTCCCTCTTGATTTTCTACTGCAGACCTAGTTTTGCAGCTATGTCCTTTAGAACCCAACTAGCTCAGTCAGTGGCGATGCAACTAAGCCACTCTTAGTGATGGACATTAAACTCCCCCAACCAGAGTACATTCTGCACCCAGGAGTGCTGAGGGGGTGATATGGTGGTGGTAATCTGCAGGGAGCTTCCTTGCCCATGTTTGACCTGGGTAGTCCCTCAGCCCCCACAACAAGAATTTTTATTTTTGTTGGTCTCCATTTGGACTCGCCTTTCCTTTGACTATTCTCTTATTATATTCTCCATAGGAATACATCTCTGTAAACCAGTTATCTGTTCTCATACTGTTTCCTTTTATCCTATTCTGCTTGATTCTCTTTGGTATATCAAACCACTTCTTTGTCAGAGCCAGCTTTTTCATGTCAATCTCAACACCTTTAATCGCCCAAATTGCACTAACTTTGAGTGTCTGTCCGTTTCCTTCACAGATGTGTCCGTCAGTACCATCATCATCATCATCATCATCATCATCATCATCATCTCAGGAGGCTTTCTTCTGCTAATTTACTGTTTTACTTGCCAGTTTTTAATTCCAAACTGCCTTGGCTAGATCCCTTTCCAACTCTCTGAAATTAACTCTCTTCTAATTTACCATTGTCAACTTCGATTATTGCTTTGTTCTTTTTCATTACAACTCTGGACCGGATATTTGGATGGCTGTTTCTCAAAAATGATATCCTGTTGAGGCATGTTCTACTAATCCTACTAGATTCAAGATGTGTCACCTTTTAGATTGAGCAGTAAAAACAATATTCAAGAAATTTCTCCTGTACATGTTTTCAGAATGTCTTTTTTTTTTCCCCATATTACTTTTGCTCCAGTTCAAATTGGGATAATTGATTTCTACATTAGCACTCTTGTTCTTGCATTTTTCTGAAGTTTGAATGCTGATACATTTCTGTTTTCCCTTCCTGTTAATTTCATGGTGTATGATGTAGAGCTAGCAGCAGACTGACTTGTGCACTGCTCCTTATTTGTAACCAAAATGATTCTGTCTTTGAATTCATAAGCAGATTTTCTCTTTCCATGACTGAAACAGTACTTAATTCAATGTTTCCAGGTCTCTTCTTTTTTCTTGTCCTTCTGACTAAATCGTAGTTTGGACTTTTTAAGTTTCTAGTCCTCCTCTTATTTGAATGGACTCCCCAGTTTGCAACTATATTGCTAAGCCTTGTGGCAAACTATACCTGCAATTCATCAATGTTACACTTTCTGGGATGTTACCCACCATAATTGAGTTGAAACAAGAAGAAAAATAAACTGTGATAAGGATTATAAAACAAAAACATAAATGCTGGAAAGTTCTATTCAGTCAGTTAGCATCTGTGTTGTTGGCCAACAAGTTAATATTGCAATAATAAAAGCAACGAGCTGCTGGAGATCTGAAATACAAACAGAAACTCAGCAGGTCTTGCAGCATCTGTAACTTTTTTTTGGTGTCTCAATAGACTCAACTATACTGCTGTTTCTATCGCCGCAGATGCTGCCAGACCTGTTGAGTTTCTCCAACACTTTGTTAACATTGTATGTTTGGGCCCTTTGACAGGGTGGGTGGGGAGCGGGTCTGGGTGGGATGTTCTTCTAAGGGTCGGTGTGGACCTGATGGGCCAAATGGCCTGCTTCCACACTTGAGACACTGACCATAATCTTTCAATCCTTCTTAGATACATGGATGCTCCCATAGCACTGGAGAATTGCAAATTTAACCCCACCGTTCAATAGTGCGTGTAAGGATAAACCCAGCAAATATAGGCCAATCAACTTAACTTTAATGGTGGGAAAGCTTTTCAAAAACAATGTCTTGAATCAGTCACTTGGACAAATGTGGATTGGTTAAGGATAGCCAGCATGGATGGGTTAAAGGTAAACTGTATTTAACTTGGTTGAGATTTTTGTTGAGGTAACTAAGAAATTTGCTGATGATAATGTAATTAATGTGAAGCACAAAGACTTCCAAATGGTTTTGACAAGTGCTACATAAAAAGCATATTAGCAAAGTTGCAGCCCCTAGAATGAAAGGGTTACTGAAAGCATAAATAAGGAATTGACTGAGTGACAGAGAGTTGAGGTGAATGGTTGTTTCTCAGACTGAAGAAAAATATATTGTGGGTTCCCTGGATCGATCCTAGGACCACAGCTTTTCTTGTTCTATATTAACAAGTTAGACTTCGGTGCCTAAGCCACAATTGCAAAATTTGTAGATGTTGCTAAACCTGGAATTACTAAACTTTGAGGAGGATAATGGTAAACTTCAAGAAGGCATACACAGGCTGGTGGAATGGGTGAACAAGTTGGAGATGAAATTTCAGTAGAAAATTGAGAGTTGATTTATTTTGGTAGGAAGAATGAAGAGAAGCATGATAAAATTATCAGCCCCCTTCTAAAGGGGCTGCAGGAATAGAGGAATCTGGGCTATTTATGCACCGATCACGCTGGCAGGTTAAATTGATAAACTATTATGGGATCCTGGACTGTATAACAAGACATGAAGCGCAAAAAAGAAAATTCTAGCATATCTTTAAACAACAGTGGTGTAACCTCGCCTCAAATGTCATGTTCCATTCTGGGCATGCTGCAGTTTAGGAAGGATGTAAATGTATTGGAGAGGATGTAAAAGTAACATACTTTATTTCTGAAACCATTCAAATATTATAGCAATGAGATGAATCAGAAACTTTGGGACTGTTGTCCTTGGAGAAGAAAAGATTAGGAGGTGATTTGTCAATTTTTTTCAAAATCGTGAAAGGTCCTGATACAGCAGGTAGGAAACAGCTATTCCTTTTACAGAAGGATTGAGACCATGACAGTGATTTGAGTGTTTAGTGAAAGCCGCAAGTGACAAGAGAAGTAATTTTATGCAGCATGATTAGATTCTGGAATGTGCTGCTTAAGAATCTAGTGAAGGCAGATGCAATTTAGGCCGTTAGCATGGAATTGGATGATTATCTGAAGCAAAAGAAAAATGTTCCAAGGCTGTAGGGTAAGAACCGTGGTGGGAGTGAAGTGGAACAAGGAAAGAAGTGTATTGCTGTTGCAGAGAGAGTAACACAACATCCTGATGTGTTATAATCAAACTATAATTCTATACATCGCATTTAAAACTAGAAAATAACTTTTTAAAAAAATTCTCATGCATGTCTCTGCCTTGATTTATGGTTTTTCTCAGTGATCATCTTTTGACAGGGCCTAGTTTCTTATTGCAGACTCCTGAAAATTCTCTTTTATTCTTTTTCTAACCAAATGCAAAGAGTTTTAATTCTATGCTTTTCATTTCCAGGTGACTCAAGACTCTGCTTTCTGGTTCTGGTAACGGGTTGTATATCTGTAGGCAGGATCCGTGACGCTGATGTATGTAAGATTACCACAACAGATTTTGTTCCACTTCAAGAAGAAACAGCAGATGAAGAGCGAGTCACTGCCTTAAGAAAACTGCTGAACTCCGGAATGTTTTATTTTTCATCGACTTCTGGTTCGACTTTTGATCTCAGTCTCTGTGCACAGAAGTTGTATGCAAAAGACCATGAGGCAGGAATCCGTTTTTTCTGGTTAGATCAATGTTTTAATTGATTTAATGTTATCAAAGACTGACAAGTTACCAAAAATACTGATGACCCCTGCTCCCTTTAGCTTCCTGGTAAAACTTACATGGAATGTGGAATGAGCAATTAAACCAGAAAGCCCCACCGACTCTATTCCTCACACGTAGGTTTGGTTTTCTGCTGAGTCAGGAGGCTTTTAAGATAATAGGTGTGACCCACACCCAGGATTCCCTCTCCCATTCTAGTTTCTGGTAACTTTTGCTAGCATAGGTTAAAAATTTGGGAACCATCCTGCTCACCGCACTTCTGCCGTTGTTGGCTGTATTGCAGGGTTGAACATTTCAAACTCCCTCAGTTTTAGTGGAGTCAGACCAGTTCACTAGGTGTGGTTAATGACCTGATGAAGGAGCTGTGAACCATGGCAGTGCCGTAGTCACAAGTCAACGGCCAAAAATAAACAGTCATTCAACATTCTCATTGCTGTACATTTTCCCTCTTACCTTGTCACAAAGCTGTCAATCAGTCACCAGTCATGGTATCAGTGTAACAAAGCTTGTATCCATTTTGGATGTCCAAACGTTTGGTCAAACAGGTAGATTTTAAAAAGTGTCTTAGAGGGGAAAAAATGAGGTAACAAGATGGAGAAATGTTATAAGGAAATTCCAGAGCTTGGAACTTGGGCAACTAATGGCATGATATTTCATGGTGGAGCAATTAAAAATTGGGGTTGTTTCCAGAGGCTAGAATTGGAGTGCAGATATTATTCAGTCTGTGGGACTTGGTATGAGTTTTTCTCCTGGAGAGTGTTTTACCTAATGCAGCATTGCTTATGCTACTTCCCATAATAGAAGAAAGTAGGCATGAATAAGGTGGTATTGAAGAATCCAACAGGCATTTGTTACAACTAATTACATTCATGGTAGAGCTAAAACTAAGCTGTTTGGTTATAGTAAAGACACTTTACTGGAAGCATGATTCATGTCTCGGGTGGTCTAAAGTAAGATGGATGATGAGATCTTTTTATACTTATTTACCTCCCATGTGCAGTGGTGATATCATGAGCTTGTCTGTTACATATCGATTGTGAAATATAATACAACAGGTCTAGGACGATTATGTAAACAGGGAGGAGTGAAGTCAAGGGGTGGGTATGGGGGGTATGTGTTGAAAGTAAAGATGAAATTTTTAAAAGTCAGGTGACAATGTAAATCAGCAAGCTTAGGAGTGAGAAGGGAATGGGACTTGGTGGTAGCAGAAGTTTGAATTTACAAAGGGTTGAATGTGAGACACCAACCAGGAATGTATTGAAGTAGTTGAGTCTTTAAGTAACGGAGGCATAGCTGAAGATTTCAGTAGGAGTTCAGCTGAGATAGGGGTGAAGTGAGGTGATATATGGGGGATGGAATTAGGACATCTTGGTGGTGAATTTGGAAGGTGAACTGAAGATGAAATGTGACAACAAGGCTGTGGACAGACTGATAGAAGCACATACATCAGAACATCTATTCTGTGCTGTTAGATTCTAGGGTCCTTTGCCTAACTTTCATAAATGCTAAATGTAGTTTGAAAGATAATAACAATAAACTACAAAACTGAATAGTTAGGCCTTACGATCAAGTCAGACATGTATCTAACTGATTCCTACTTGTTGAATTCTAAAAGTAGATCTAAAATTTATATTTTCCATATAAGTGTTCTCCTTCCTGTTCCGTAAGAAAGTACATTACATAATCCACATCCACCAAAGGTGTACATTTGTTGCATCAACATGAGTACTGACACTGGTCTATGATGTGTTTAAAAAGGAGTAGTTGCTCTAGGGTCTTTACTGATTCATGCAATACCATTTGATGTTGGGTAAGTGTCTCATCAGGAATCTAGTGGACACCAATTTGTTAAATGAAACCAGTCAGCATTGATACGACATCTTGATGGTGACTTTTCCAGGTACACGGATCTCTTCCAAAAACCTGCTGTGATGAATTTCTGCCAACCATGTTTAATGCTTTTATGAATCATTGAAATTCAACATCATTAATATTCTTTGTTTTGCTTAATCATTTCAAAATCTGCTTTGATGAATAGAATTCTCTTCTTGGAGTTTACCTAACTAGAAAACTAGCACATATTTTACATGTATAGTGGGTACAGATTTGATGGCTGAAGGGCCTCTTCCATACTATATAATTCAATTGATTATTTTATATGCAAATGTCTGAGTCACAATACCTCAAATGATTTATGCAGTTGCACTCACTCTCAAACTTGCAGATGAATATCAAAACAGTTACTGCAATTACATTACTCTATATCCCTAGCAATTAGAATCATGTGGTACAAAGGACGCTCTTTTGTCTGTCAAGCATGGTCCACAAAAAATATATACTACAAAGTCCCACTTTTCTAAACTAGGCTCATAACCTGGAACGTTATGTCACTTCAAGTACAAGTACTTGGAAAAGTTGAGGTTTTCTGCCTTAACTACCCACTGAGAGAGTGCATTCCACATCCCTCCACCCTCTGAAGTGAAAATATATTCAAGTTCCCTCTAAACCTCCCGCCTTTCACCTTTTTTTTTTTTTTTTAAAGTTCATCTTGTTATTGACCCTTCAACTAGTGGGAACAGCTGCTTTCTATTCACCAGTCTCTACACACCCCTCAGCCAGGTCCCCTCTCAGCTTTTTCTGCTGTAAAGAGTCCAACCTGATCTTATTCACCCTCTCTTCATAGCTAAAGTTCTCTCGCCCGGATAACATCCTGGTGAATCTCCTGTTCCCCCTCTCCAGTGCAGTCACATCCTTCCCATCGTGTGATGACCAGAAGTGCACACCATACTTGAGCTGTGGCCTAAAAGTTTTTTTTTGTCCAGCTCCAACATAAACTCCCTGCTGTTAGAATCTCTGCTACAACTGATTAAAGGCCAGTGTCCCATATGCACCATAACTATTCTATTAATCTGTCCTGCTGCCTTCTTGAGATCTGTGGAGAAGCAATGAGATTCCTCTGAGCTTCCTGGTGTTCTTCCATTCATTGAGTACTCCCTTATCTTGTTCCTCCTTCCAAAGTGCGTCACCTCATATTTGTCAGGGTTAAATTCTATCTGCCACTGATCATCCTATCTGACAAATCGGCTTATATCTTCTTAGAACCCAAAACCTTCTTTCTTACTGTCAACCCCCTGGTCAGTCTTTGTGTCATGTGCAAACTTGCTTATCACCACCACTACCACCAGCCCCCCTACCAATGTTTTCTTCCACATTGTTTATATATATCTTAGACAATAACAGACCCAGCACTAACACATGTGGTATGCCACATCACTCTTGATATACAGTCACAAGCTGTTGTCTCCCACCACACTCTATCCCTTACCACTAAGCCAATTGTAGATCTAACTTGTCAAGTTACCCTGGATCCCATGTGCTTTTACCTTCTTTATCAGTGTCACATGTAGGCCCTTGTCAAAGGCTTTACTGAAATCCATATAGACTTTATTAACTGCACTACCCTTGTCTATACACCTAGTCAACTTTCTCAAAATTCAACCTCTGACAAAGGTATGCTGACTATCCCTTATCGAACTTTGCCTCTCCAAATTTTAACTGAGTTCCTATCCAAAAGTGCATGTTGAGCAGCCTAATCATGGATGAGTGCAGTACTTCCTTTGTGAATATGTTGCTGTTCCTGAACAGTTTATACTTTTCTTTCCCAGTGCAAAATTATCAAGCTAGCTCTTGGCCAATAAATATTCACTAATGCTCAATGTGTCAATGGAGAAGGTTTTCATCTTGATTTCTGCCACGTTTCCATTTTGAGACATGGTTTGTAAGATGCAGGGCAGAAGTAAACTATTTGGCCATTGTAAATTTCAGCAGATAGCACTTCAAGGCACTGTGAATGCCAGTTGCTGCAGGATTTGGTGTTGTTCATCTTATTGTCATCTAAGGAGATTTGAATTGAATTAATGTCTTTTCACTTCCATTTCTGTGGCCAGCAATATTTAACATGGCAAATTGCAAGCCTTCATTTTATCTGGACTTGGGATAAATAATGTGAGCTGTGTACTGTATCGCAAAGGCATAGATGAGTGAAGAACTCAGAAATCTAGATATTGCAAATAAAAACTGAAAACGTGCAGAGAAAAACATGGGAATCTTTGACATGGACATGAATATTCAGTCATATACTAATGATACAACATTTGGATAATGATGAAATACACCTTGAAGGTATCAAGTATAGACCTGACATTTTTGCACAGACTTAGAGGAGATAACAATGAATTCTAGTTATGTGTCAATTTTTCAACAACTATGAAAGAACAAGGCTGGAGCTAAGGAAAGTAAACCATGAAAACTATTGAGAGGTAGAATAAAATTAGGCAATTTAAAGAAGCAATCAATTTGGGTCAGGAGCAATTAGTAAATTTGAAACTGATTAAAACTGATATGCAATGGATGGATAGGGAGGCAAGGATAAAATTGAAACCAAAATAAGTATCATAGATAAAGTTCATTATCAATAAATAGTGAATGACAAAATGGAACAAGTGAAGAATGAAGACAAAAAGAGATCTGAAATGAAAATTCAAATCATAAAAAGTCTATTCCAAAGGCATTTGATAAAGTACCACTCAGTTGAATGGCGTTGGCGGGGGGGAGGTGAAGGGTCCAGACCCGAAACGTCAGCTTTCCTGCTCCTCTGATGCTGCTTGGCCTGGTGTGTTCATCCAGCTCTACACCTTGTTAACTCAGTTGAATGTTACATTACTGACCACTGGTGGCTTGTGGCTGGGGTTGTGTGCTGCCATCAGTCCTCCTTTCTGCTCTTTTAAACTAACAAGAACTTTTAACAGGTTAATTCTTCTTCCTAATCTTTTAAACAGAACTTCGGTGAGGTTAAACAGCCCCCCATGGTGCTCTCTAATAAAAATATAATTAAATGGTCAATGGAAATGTCAGAGATAGATAGAACAGAAACCTATTAAAATCAAATCACAATAGTATCAAAGATGATAATTTTAATTTGCTGGGGTGCATTATCACGTAGGATGATGTTTTGGTCTGCTTTTGCATTGGGGCAACTTCCACGTGTAAATGCAACAGAGCTTGCTAGGCCAAAGAGTTTGAATATCAGCAGTGAGATTTAAATCAACACCTCCAAAGAGACTGAAACATTAGTTCAATGCCTTACATCGCTCGGTCTAACTATTTTCTAACTTCCTTTCTCGATATTGTCTGATCAATCTGCTTAGAGATGGTGTTCCACACTCCTAGAGCAGGAGGGACTTAAACCTGGGTCCCATAACTCAAAATATACTACCACTATACCAAAGAGCTCTGTTTTCTATGTTGAGTCTAAAGATCCATCTATTTATCAGTGGAAGAGGTTAATCTGTTGATGAGTCTTAACAAGATTTGTTCCCTTTGTCAGGAAAACCTTGAGTTATATTCTGTGCTCAAAGACTGAGTTTGTCAGATTTAAGGAAGCATGTTAAAGCCCTGTAGATAGTTCAAAGTAGATTTACTAGAATGATACCAGGAATGAAGGATTTTACATACAAGGAAAGATTAGAGATTGGCCTTATTCTGCTTTGGAGCAGAGAAGATTAAGAGCTGACCTTTATTGTGCTGTTTGAAATTGACAGGGTAAAGAAAGATATCCTGTTTCCATCAGTTGGTATGTCTAAAACTAAGGAGTCAAAATTTCAAGATTGTCAACAAGAGAGCTGGGAGTGAGATGAGGAGAAACTTCTCATGGAGTTGTTAGGATTTGGAATGCGCTGCCTGGGAGAGTGGTGGAGGCAAATTTCATAGGTTTCAAAGAGAGCTGAATACTATATTTGAAACTGATGCAGTGAGAGGGCTGGAGAATGGGACCAGCTGGGTAACACTTTTGGGAGCCGGTACAGACATGATGTGTGTGCTTAGTTAATTTGCTTTTCTCCTCACTTACATGCAAGGCAGTGATATTTGAGAGTTTTTTTTGGCATGTGTAATTATCAAACTTGCATGCACAAAAACTAAATAGGTCTCCCTACTACACCAGTTTTAAAACCTTGCCAGGCTCACACTTGCATCTATATATAATGTTATGTGTAAATTATGATTTTTTTTGTTTCAAGGCAGACCCAATAAGGGTAGCCCTTACCAAACAACATTTGTGTACAAGATTGTTGATAGTCATTGGCCATTTTAAGGTCACCATTACTGACACTAACTTTATAAAAACAGATCCAGCTTTATTAACTCGATTCTCGTGGTAGGATTTTTAACGCGTTTGTGTTTTTAATCCAGGTCTCTATATATTGCTCGTCCAGTAATAAAGCCTCAATACTGCCATACCCTGGCTTTAACCTAGTGAACACGCGTCTATGTAGTTGACTGTTAGAATTTTACCAGGTATAATTTTAGTCATATAACATGAAGACCACAAGAGTGTAAATTCCTGTAAATGCCTAAATGTTATTTATTTAGACAGGAAAAATATAAAATATATTTAAAAAAGTAACAGTTGTAACATTGGACAACAGAGGACAGGAAGTTCAAACAGCTGAATTTATTGGGTGCCATAAACCCTGGCCCCTTACTGAAAAGTCAGTCGTTGGTCTACCCACCTGAAACCCTACTGCTATGTGACAATGTTACATTGGGGGCAGCCTTAATTATTTGAGTGGGACTTCTGGCCTCATCTGGGAGGAAGTCTTGTGCTAGAGACATGCTGGCCTATCTGATTGGCCAGCAATACTGTAGTCGTAGCAGTGCCAGGACTGAGCAGAGGCTAGTCTTACGACTACAACTAGTTCATGAGGAAGATGACTGATGGAATCAGGCCTTAAAGACATGTATAGAAATTTGGTCTGGCCTGGCCAGCACACCTCAGCAAGTTGGGTGTGGGGGAGGACCGTGCTCAGATACACTCGTACCCAAGATTGCACTTCCCCTTTAACCTAGTGCCAACTTCTCAAATTCATTTGCAGGGCTGAGGAGAATGGAGCAATGAAGATTTGAGAAGTTTGCAGTAGGTTAAAGGGGAAGTGCAATCTTGGGTATGGGTGTATCTGAGCAATGAACTTCCCTAAAGAGATCTCCTCACTTCTTTCCCAATACAGCGCACTCTGAATGCAGCTGGGCTACCGTCCTTGTCCATTTCCCCTGCTGCGTGTAAAATAGGGACAGAGGTGGAATGAGACCCTTGAATGATCATTAATTCTTCATTTAAGATCCTCAATTGGCTGTCTGAAACTTGGCCCCCCACTTTATGTCTTCTTGTACACCAGCGGGCGGCTGCAAAATTGAGCCCTATGTTTTGACAGTAAATTAAAAACTGTTAAAGATTGTTTTCAATCTTTTTTTATATGGATACTTTCGTAACATTAATTTCATGACAGAGTCTGAGGTAAATCCTTAAGTGTTCTGTTTTTCCTAATTCAGCTTTATATCAAAGGTGGAGTTACACCTTAAAAAGTTACACCTTTTTTTGTGCTGCACACCCTAGCAAATATCCACTGTTAGCTTTTGATTTTTGAAGTTTTATGTCACAATAATTTCAACATTTTCCAAGACAGACCAAGGATCAGTACAGTTTGCATGAGCAGCTGGGAGAAGGCACAACCAGAGTAATATACAGCCGGAGTGAATGTTTGATACTGGACGTTTAGTGCACAGTGGGAGTTGAACCAGCAAAGTCTTTACATTTTTAGAATTCCACATTTCCATCTGTTCCTGATAATGCTCAATTTCCCCTATATAACTGGAATCATTGAACTCAGTATTCAAAATATTCAATGATCTGGCCAGTGTACCTTCTGAGGAAGAGTTGCAAAGTTGCACGACGCTGCAAGAGAGAAAATCTCCTCTCTGTCCTAGAAGGGAGACCCCTAATCTTAAAACATTGCCTCCTGGTTCTGAAATACAATGACATTCTCTCACTAAAGGATTCACTCACATTAACATTTATTTTGTATTGCTAGTGATTGTTGGAAACAGAAGGAAAATTGAGAGCATTAAGCTGGGAATTCCTGCTTTGACTCATGTTTGATTGGAAGTAGACTTAATAAATTTCAGTGCTAAATTTCAGAAATTGACTATTGATAATGTGATAAATGAGTAAAAGTTGCTGTGAATGCTGTTCTTCAGTAAATTGGTGTACTTTTAAAGAGATACTCACGTCATAACATGTGACCCGATGATATAAAGATCACATACTCCATCTTAACTTGGATCACTTGGAACAGGATATGCTAATGGAAGCATATTGCTCTCAGTAACCAAAACGTATGAAACTAACATAGACATTTGTGTCTGTGAATGTAATAATTGTATATAATAGCCAGTTGTAAAATTCAACAGGTATTTATTTCAATACCATGTAGTACATGCCTAGTTTCCTGTGTTATGAAAGATAATATGAGCATCACATAAGATTCCCACACTTAAGGTAAAAGCCTAATTTTTCTCTGAGCAGTGAGTAGAGAAATAATCTGATTTTTTTAGCATCTTAGAAATTGCTGACAATTTCTATTTGTTGTTTGTCTCTGTGAACCAATTGCAGGAATCGCACTCTACATGTTCATCTCAAGCAGCACCAGGTAAACTGCTCTGATTGGCTGCTGAAGGTGATCTGTGGTGTAGTAGAGATCCGTACAGCCTATGCTACAGAAAAAAAGGCAAAGGCCTGCCTGATATCAAGGCTCAGCTGCGAGCGAGCTGGCACCAGTTTCTTCGTACGAGGAACTGATGATGATGGTCATGTGTCCAGCTTTGTTGAAACAGAACAGGTATTTAAGATATAATAAAGACTTGCATTTGTATAATAGCCTTTGTTATGGACCAGACCAAACCCCCTCAAATATAATAAGATAGCCTAGACGCTAATGTTTCCTTATTTTAAAGGCAAGTGCTGGTGTAGCATTCTGGATGAAATCTGATTTGGCCATGCCATCAGTCTTGAAACAAAACACGCACTATATTGTTAGACTATAGTTAACAGACAACAAAAAATAAGAAATTGGAATAACTTCATTATTAATCTGTTTGGTTTTCTAATAGATTATTTAAGTAATAAACAGTAACTGATCTAATATAGTAACATCCCATAAGCGCACCCTTGGCAAAGGCAAATTTAGTAAAATAGAGTGTGTCCCATGTAATTCTAACAGCAGAAAGAGAACCCTCAGCTTTTAGCTATAATCGAGGAAAAACCACTTCCATATTCAGCTTTAAGACCCCAACAGCAACTGCTACTGAAAAACTAAAACCAAAAGTCCTGGTTCTGTGGGAGCTTGACCCCAACCAGTCAGGCTGCTTCTATTGTTCCAACTTCAAAAAAGAAAAAGCTCCAAGGCCTCACAAGCTGTTTACTTTATTGGCTTTGGAGCAGAGTGCTGGGTGAAGATAGCGCCAGATGTTGCTAGACCTGCCGACCTTTTCCAGCAAATTCTGTTTTTGTTTGATTTGCAGCATCTGCAGTTCTTTTGGTTTTTATTTGCTGTCCTGTCCTGTTCTGTTTAAAGATAACTTCAGAAGCTGGTATAAAGGCCTGAAATAATGGCTTCAAACTGTTTTGCACAGAGTTTCCTGTGGTTGCTAGCTGACTTTAATGGAAATTAGAGACTGCAGCAGAGAACAAGCAGGGAGTTAGGGTTCAACTTATGAATCACATGTCTATTTTTCTAAAGATTCATTTAGTTCTGGAGTGAATCCTAAACCTGTAGATTAAACAAAAAAAAAATGAAATGCAAACCAAGATTTGAGATGGATCTTGTAAAAATTTGGACTTAGAAATTCAGCCTATAAAGTGAATCTGGATTATTTATTCAGGTTGTTACACTAGCATCAGGAGGAAGTCTTAAACATGCTAGGAGAAACAATTAAGCTATTTGGACATTTATCAATTTTTAAATTCTTCACCTTTTTTCTTTGCCATGTATTGAATTCTCATCAAGAACACTGCCCAAGAAGAAAACCCCCACACTTGAATGATTGTGTAGTTGGGAGAAGCAGGGTACCTGCCTGATCTATAGGAAAACAATGTAGGCTGTGGCTGATTGCTATTACCCTGTCTTCCCCATTGTTCTCACAGCACCCCTCAATGCATTTGTAAAGTATTGGTTCAAAATTTAAGCATATTAAAATTGGGATGGACATCTAACATTCATTTCAAAAACAAAGGTGTGTTGAGTTTCAGCATCTTCTTGACATTTCAATTTTGTTGCTACCTAGTTTGGGATCTTATCACATGCATCAAGGATTTTTCAGTTTTAATCTGGTATTTTTCATTCTCTTCTGCTTTGCAGGTAATTTACTTGGATGATGCAGTGTCTTCCTTTATCCAGATACGAGGCTCAGTCCCATTATTTTGGGAGCAGCCTGGAATACAGGTAACTTGTGGTACTAGACAAGGAATGCATTGCACAATAAATTAAAATACTGAATGTGGGTAGAAGCTTACAGCTTCATTTGGTGATGTTTGATAATTGAATTATCTAATTCAATGTTAGAACTTTTGCCAAATTTGCAGCACCCTAATTCCACACTAACTTGAAGTACATTTCAATTAGAATAACACTGTAATATTAATATCTTTCACACATCTCTTCCCCCCCCACTCAGGTTATGCATTATTTCAAACGTCTACACAGCACACTGACAGCTATTCAGTCTTGACGGTTACATTTCCAAAACAATTCCTAGCATTCTCACTAACGCACTCCCCTTTTCCTTTTGAGGAGGAATTGATGTATAAAACAAAACAAAAGCCTGCCATTGATGGGAGGAGCAGCAGAATTTAACATCCTGATCCACAATGGGAAAGAGCAGAACTGATGCTGTGGCCATGGGCAATTCAAGAGGACATCAAGCAGGAGTTGTGTTTCCATAATCTTCCTCATCTTTTCTCTCTCTGGGGTTGCAGACGCTATTGGCTGTCACAAGTCCACAAGCTAATCCTTACCCCTTCTTTTCAGCTTGTGATCAGTCAAAATTTCATAGTCGGTGAAGGTAGAGGATGAGAACGATAGTGATGGTGTATTGACTTGACTCTTGCAGCTATCAACTCCAGTGCTGACACTATTCATTGTTGAGAGGCTAAGGTAGAGGTGGGATTTGCACATGGTAGCTTACTTGATACGAGTGTACAGGTATAAGGGTTGATACAGGTGGTAGTTTGCCTGATCTGGAGTATTGTGAGCAAATTCGGTTCCCTTGTTTAAGGAAAGATATTATTTCATTGGAAGCAATTCAAAGAATTTCACTAGAATGATCCTAGTGCGGAGAGATTGTCTTATGAGCAAAAGGCTAAACAGGCTGGGACTCTGCACATTGGAGTTTAAAAGAATGACAGATGATCTCATTAAAACGTATAGGATTTTTAAGGGACTTAACAGGGTAAAATGCTGAGAGGATGTTTCCTGTCATGGGAGAATCTAGGAGCAGAGGGCATGGTCTCAGAATTAAGAGGCAGCAAATTAAGACTGAGATGAGGAAGAATTTCTTCTGTCCAAAGGGATCGGTATATAACGCAGGGCAAGAGTTATAGCTGGGGGAAAGGCAATTATGAGGCGATGAGGCAAGATTTAGGATGCATAGGATGGAGAAGGAAACTGCAGGGGCTGGGCACAATTGAAATATGGAGCTTGTTCAAGGAACAGCTACTGCGTGTCCTTGAGGTATGTACCTGTCAGGCAGGGAGGAAGTGGTCGAGCGAGGGAACCGTGGTTTACTAAAGAAGTTGAATCTCTTGTCAAGAGGAAGAAGGAGGCTTATGTAGAGATGAGGCATGAAGGCTCAGTTAGGGCGCTTGAGAGTTACAAGTTAGCCAGGAAGGACCTAAAGAGAGAGCTAAGAAGAGCCAGGAGGGGACATGAGAAGTCTTTAGCAGGTAGGATCAAGGAAAACCCTAAAGCTTTCTATAGGTATGTCAGGAATAAAAGCATGACTAGAGTAAGATTGGGGCCGGTCAAGGACAGTAGTGGGAAGTTGTGCGTGGAGTCCGAAGAGATAGGAGAGGTGCTAA